AGGGAGGAAGGAAGGAAGGAAGGAAGGAAGGAAGGAAGGAAGGAGTAGGCAGGGAAAAAAGTAAGAGGGAGGAGAAGGGGGAAACAGAAAAAAAAGGACAGGACAGGAAGCTCTCGCTGCTGCCTGTAAAGGTGGGGAAAGAAAGAATCAAGATAGGGTGTGCTGGAGAGAAAGACAATGAACCTGTATTGACTTTCACAATTTTTATGTGATTCAGGACATCGAAGTGCTGCCTAATCCCAAACAGTTCTGGAGGTTGCCCAAAGATAACTGTGAAATGCCACCATCCAGGCCCTCTCCTGATGCCACCCCGAAGTCATCCGGATCAGAACCAAAGCCTCAAAGAGCCCGGGTCCAAGAGATGCTGGAACTGCCGCTGGAGCCCTAATCACCTGCTGGGGAGCCTGGCCGAACTTCCACTCCTGTCACGGAAGAGGCGTGATTAGCTGCAGAGGGTCAACCCCCTCCTGGCAGGACCTGGGGAAGGTCCGGGAAGGGAGCAAAGCGGGGAGGCCCCACTGCTCACTCGCCGCTGGCTGGGTCAGAGTTTGCGCTCCCTCGTCGTCGCCTGCGCTGGCCTCATTGTCGGGAGAGACCTGCAGCTCGGCCAGGACCTTCTCGACCCCAGCAGTGTCCCTCAGGACCCTCTCCAGATGTGGGGATAGTGTGCCCCCCTTCCATAGGGCTTGCCAGCCTGCATTTTGGGATGTTGGCATCCCTTTTTCCCAGGGGTCCAAGGCCAAGGGGGGGTGGCATTTGCAGGGGAAAGTCCCCAACACCTTTGTCCAGCACCCAGGTTTGCACAGAAGAGGGGCTGCTTACTGGTCTCCTTTCCCCAAAAGCTAAACTGGCTTTGTGAGCCCCATTAAACCATGGATTGTTCAACAGACCATGTTTGGTTAGGTGCACACGGGGCACTAAGCCACGATTCACTGAACATTTGCTTAACCATGATTTGTTAAGGAGGCCACTTTAGTCTGTTCAAACATCCTTGCAAATTTATGGTTTGCATACATCATAGTTTACAAAACCTCCTAGCTACTAAGCCAGAACCAAGTCAATTACCTAACATCCATGTTCACACAACGTGCTAAGCCAAAATATGGTTTGCTTCCTTGTGATTTAAGCATCTGGTACAAACTGTGGTTTGGTCAAAAATCAGGTTTGTGAAATCAACAAGAAGGGCTGGGTTCCCACAACACACCAAGCCATAAACCCTGGTTTAGACCTCACAAGAACTGGCTAAGCCACAAACAAGGATATCATATCGGCCAGTATATTGTCTGAACCCAAAGTCTGTGTCTTATTATAATAAACTATAGTTAAAACAAGCTGTGTTTCAGAGTAATGCATAAACCCAACTATCTAGACACACAAACCCTTCAGCCTATGCTAAAGTTAGTTTGGGGCTTAAAATTCATAATTACTTACCAATCTTCTCCTGCTAATGTGGTTTATTTTACTCTGCCTCCCCTTCTCCCCAGTTTACTTTCTTTCCCTGATATTTTTCTCAGCATTCGATCTTCCCAAGGTGCAAACTTTCGCTATAGGCATCATAACAATGGAATAACTGAGAGAAATGCTTTCAAACCCCTTAAAGTGGTGTTTCTGAACCTCGGCAACTTTAAGAGGGGTGGAGTATATAACCCCCAAACAAACCC